GTTGCGCCTGCATTTTATTATCTCCGAGGCTCCTTTTACTCCCGCAGCTTCTGCCAGATCAGCGCTCCTTTCAGGCAACTTCTTCCCCGCGCTCTCATCCGGCGCTTTGGACACTGTCACTTTTTAACTCAACGTTTCGATACTTCCCGGACTCATCTGCTTCCAGTCTACCTTTCTCAACCTCGATTTCCTTCCCAGCCAGCTCCACGAGATTCTTAAAACTGTCTTACAAAGGCTGAAGTGCTCGAAACTGCTCGATCTGAACGATGTGCGATATTTCGTAGATTTCGATGCAATTTCCGTCATTAAACGCGCGAATTAATTTTCAGGAAAATGTGCGACGTGTCGAGGCAACTCGTGTGCATTTTTCAGAATTTTATCCGATTTTTAGGTTGAAGAACCGGGACGGGAGAAATGAAAATACCCACCCAAAAAACGCAGGCTTTTTGTAGAAATTGAACGAACGCCGTGTACCATAATTTTTACAAGAACAACGCATTGTCATAATAGTAGGTGTCCGGAATGCTTTCGTATTGCTTCTCCATTTGAAGCGGCCACAGTTAGAACAATAAATACCGGTTTCCAATCTCGGCTATGGCCGTCGAAAATATTTCTCGTTCGACCATGGCGCACCGAGCTGAAAAATTCGAAAAAAAATTCTGGGACCACCGTTCTGACAACAAAGTCGTTGCCACAGAAATATGGCACCACACGTGCTCATTCGACTTCTGCAGGTATCCCGCATTTTCGCGGGCGTCTCTTTCTGTTGCAGTTCCTTTCGGCCGCGCCGATTATACCGCACGCGAGAGCCCCGAATGTTTCAAGAGAATTCGCGTCAGGCGCGCATTTACGCGAGCAGAAATCGGGAAACATAGCGCCCGAAATGTTTCTATCCTATTTTCGGAATCGATTTCGAAGAATTCGAGCTTCGAAAACGACGGGAATCCAATTCGAGCGTATCTACCTACCGAAATGCAATACCGCCGGCGATCGAACTGTAAACAAGCGTTTAATCAAAGGCAATATTAACGTCTGGCGGCACGGTGGATCGCCGGTGATCGCTGTCCCGATCGATGGAAATCCCGTCGGAGGCACGCGCGAAATTTTATTTCAGGTGTCATTCAGTCATCGCGGCAACCGGCGAACAAATACGTCCGTTGAATGGGAAATGTCGGAGGGCCATGCCGATCGGCAGCGTTCATCGAAAATTCAATGAATTTTCATATTGCACCGGCGTCCCTCTCGCTCTGCAACGTGCCACGGGCATCTTTAATTAACACGAGTCGCTCGAAATGTTTAATAAACAGGCCCGCGAGACGTGTTCGATCGTTCCCTCGAAATAGCCGTGGAAACCCCTTAAATCAGTTTCAATTAAACCAAATGAGCGCGTGGAAATTAAAATAGGTGGTGTGCCGATTCAAGCGACGTCCGAAGTTTTCCACGAATTAAATCGTTTTTTTTACATCTATATCGCACGTCTTGAATCATTTGAATTAGATGTCGGCGTTTTTTTTAAATGTTATACAAAATGTTACGAATAACAGAAAAACCGTAAATACAATGTTGAGAAGCAATGAAAAGAATCAGAAACGGTGAAAAATGTGACAAAGTTATGTACGAGAGACGAATTAATTGCAAAAATTAACATCGCCTGCGAAGAGAATCGAGAAAATCACATCAACGATAAATTCGATAAATTCGATAATAAATTCGACAATAAATATAAAATCAGAAATCAAGTATTTCGGTGATAAATTCTTAGTAAAGCATTTACGAACTTTTTATTATACGTAACATTTCAGTCTCATTTTTATTTGTAGAACACACTCACAGAGCATGTACGGAAAAATGCGCGACACCCTGTATAGGTGCGAACGCAAAACATTTCACAAAATACAGAAAATCGATTTTGAGCGAGTTACCGGGCCCTTCGTTTTGTGTCAATTACAAAATCAACGGATCAAAGTGCATTTAACAAAATCAGCACCCTTAGACCAATAACATTGTCCCAAAATATAAGTAGAATTAGCATAAGTGCACGACAATCGACACACAAGCCGATCCCGAATAAATGTCCACTCGACCAAAGCCGGAATCAGCCGACAATCCGAATTTTCGGGCGAACTCGGCCGAGCAATTTTTTCGAAACGCGAGCGCGTCGACAGGCAATTTGATCGAGCGCATTTTAATCCGCGCCAATAGAAAGAATCATCGTGGGGAATCGGAGCAATGTTAACCCAATCACTCAGAACTCGATAACGGGGCGGCACATATTCCATTACACTTGATTAATTGCTTCCAATTTGAGCCGTTCACCGGCCGTACTTTATCGGCGTATCCTTTATTCCGCGTATCACGTTTTCGGGTTGTTTGTTCGTTCACCCGGAACGTGAATTGTAATTGTTCCGCGGCGCGTCGCAGCGTACCGGCGATGCTTTTGCGCCCTTGCTTTCTCCTTCTTTTTTCTTTTTATCGTACGGTGGAACAATAATCGAGCGAAGCTAACAGTCCGACGGGAGCATGGTTACTACGGTGTCTCGGACACCATTCGCGCGACAGTAATTGCCACGTACACAGCGTTCGTCGGAAACGACTGTCTCGACGTCGAGGAAACGGCAGTTGTCTCAACGAATGCGCCAATCGCATTAATTCCCTGGATTCTTCGAGCGTACCTACGCTGGCCGATCGGAAAATGGCCGACCCGAGGAATTCGAGGCGATCGTGAGTCAGTGTCGTTCGTCAAGGTCCCCGCGGACACTTACATCTTAATGCCCCTAATGACCGGCCACGATAAAAACAGTCGTCATTTTTTCCGTGGAACGATCTCGTGCGTCACGTGTACCTTAACAACTGAATTCTGTTCGGAGGGGACTATTTTTCTCGGACCGATCGACGATTCGGCTTCTTGTCGTCGCGTCTCGCCCCGCAGTTTATTAACTCGTGAAATCTGCTCGGAGACTTCCGGGCCACCCGGTACAAGAATTCCACGCAATCCGCGGACCAAGACATCCAATTGCTGTCAACAATTCCATTAAATCGTCGCGAGCCTCTGCGGAACGTAGTAATTAACCAGGCTCCCGTTTGATTGGTCTCATTATACGGGGTCAAGGGGGCCGCGGGAAAAAAGCCCTCGTAAATAAATAAATTGCCGAGCAAAAGGAGAGGCATTATTGGAACCTGTTCCGCTCGGTTGCCTTTGTCTCTACGTCGTCTCAACGAGCACGCTAACGAGCAGTATTGCAATGATGTTATTAACCGTCGATGCCATGGAAATATGTATTACGAACGGCTGTGCATTATTTTACAATAATTACCGCGTGGAGCATCGTGGGTGGTTTCTTGGGCTGGGTCAAGATAGACGTACGGGTCGGCCAGGTGAAACGATTGCCGTAAGAAATTGATTAGGTCAGTGCCAGGGACGATATTCTGGTTTAAGGTACCTTTGGGGACCTGGTTAGGCCATAGTGGAAGGATCAAAGACCTATGGGAGTGTTTAATCAAAGCAGTGCTGGAGTGCTGGATATGGCACAGGTAGATCTCAATTTAAGATATTTAAAAATCCTGGTTGGACTTGGATCCTAAGTTGCTAAATACTGATTTGGCCTGATTAATAATTATCTTAGAGTCCAGTCATGGTACGATCGAATGGGTGCTGTGACCTGTGGGAGGGTTCGATCGAAACACCCTTTGGGACGAAGTTAGGTCTCAATTTAAGCTACAGAAAAATCTTAGTTGGATCTGGATCCTAAGTTGCTAAATACTGATTTGGTCTGATTAAAAATAGCCTTAGAATCAACCATAAGAGTCCAGACACGATGTAATAAAAAAAACTGCTATTACTTGGCGGAGATTTAGGTCAGAACTCTCTTTGGGCCTATGTTAGGTCCCACATTAAGCCACTTAAGAATCCTAGTTGTATTCGCATTCGACATTATCTCCTATTAGTTAGGTCTGCTTAAAGTTCAATCTTAAGTCTCCAGACATGATGTAATCAAAAAAAGATGTGTATAAGAGACAGCCTATTAGTTAGGTCTGCTTAAAGTTCAATCTTAAGTCTCCAGACATGATGTAATCAAAAGGGTGCTATTACTTAGCAGAGAGTTAGGTCAAAACTTCCTTTGGACCAGTGTTAGGTTTTAACTTAATCTACTTAAAAGTCCTAGTTGTGCTTGCATTCGACACTGTCTTCTATTAATTAGGTCTGCTTAAAGTTCAATCTTAAGTCTCCAGACATGATGTAATCAAAAAAGGGTGCTATTACTTAGCAGAGAGTTAGGTCAAAACTTCCTTTGGACCAATGTTAGGTTTCAACTTAAGCCACTTAAAAATCCTAGTTGTAATCGCATTCGACATTATCTCCTATTAATTAGGTCTGCTTAAAGATCAATCTTAATCCTCCAGACATGACATAGCCAAAACGAAATGCTATGTTATAAAATAGGATCAGACAAATACAGGTCCATTCGTAGATTTACCCGTAGCCAACCTAAAAACCTCGGTTGGCGTTTAATCGAGATATTCCCTACACCGGTCACGTCCAACTTTTTAATTGAACAGTTTGAAGCGGGAAGGTGCAGGTCCCGGTTCCGTGCAGCCTAGCGCGCGCATAATCTCGTCACAACAGATGGAGCAAAGTGAATACACCTCTACGCGCGGTATCATCTATGTTTGCACTACTCGAGATAAAAATATTTGCACGCGGTACGCTTCCACTCGCGTGCACTCACGTTGCATCCGTTGCACCGCGAAAATATTTACCGGCGTCCTCGCTAATAGTGATCCGCGTCCAAAAACTGAACGCGGATACCGTGGATGTCCGGAGCGAGCGCTCGCATGCAAAAAATCCATGACCTCTCCCTCTCTATTTCTCTCTCTATATATTCTCTCTCTCTCTCTCTTTCTCTCTCTTTCTTGAGGCATTCGAACCGGTCGGGTGTACAGTTCGCGAACGCATAGCTACAGAGCAGCATTCCTAGAAATACGTGATAAATCAGACTTACCTATACTGATCGGTAAATATCCTGAAAATAACAATTCGTTTTTATTCGAAAACGATCCACTATGGTCGGCATGCAGTTAATAATAAGAAACATACGTAAATCTGGCGGTCTACGTACGAAACAAGAAACGAAACAAAAGAAAAACCAAAAAAGAAAAAAAAGTAAAAAGAAAAAGAAACGGGTCAAACGAAAGATCAAACAAAGGATCAGGGACGAAATTACAATCTATCAGTGTCGGTGTTGTTCCTCGTATGTCAGCGTTCTCTAGTCTCGGCCAGAGGGTGTCTCGCAAAAGAAGCCGGGCTCGGTTAATGAAAAGCTCGTTGTTCGCTGGTCTAATAATCACGAGTGGAAAAAGGAACGAGCGGATCTCGCCGCGGAGGCCGAGGGATTTACGCACGTGCGGTTGTTGTTCGATTACGTTTCCCGTTTTCCGCAGCAGTGTTTTCCGTAGCACGGGCGTATTTGTTGTTCCGCGGTGGATGAAATCGCGGTGCAAAGTGTTTCGGGAACAGCGCGTCTCCGCGTGCACGCGCCCGGTCCTGTGCGTGTGTGCCGAAGCGTACGCGTGTGCATGGCCGCGTTTGCGTGGGCCACGGACGCGTCCGCGTGGGCGGCGTGTGCGTGTGCCAATGGGCGACGGTGTATGGGTGCGCGCATACGCAGCGACGCGGTGGAATATCTGCGCTCAATCTTCGATCTGATCGGCCCAATTTCGCCACGTGCCTGCTCCCCGCCATTGTTCCCCGTAAAATCGCGCAACGACGCCGGACCCGCCGCAGCTGTTCCGCCCGGAAACTGTAATTGACTTGCTACCGCGCCTCTCCAATCAGCGCTTTCTCTCCCGCCGGGATTCCCTGCCCGATCTTTTAATTAAATTTCCCGCGCGCCGCGATTCTCACGGACCCGCTCGAAGTCGACAATGGCCAACGAACTGCTCTAACGGCCGCAAAAAAAGCGAGCGTTCTACGGCGCAGCGGCATGCTCGAACAGTCGTCGATCCGACGTATCGTTGCGTTTCGATCACGAACACGACGCTGGCGTCTCGACGCAGCAAGCCAAACGGACGTCGATCCGTCCCAAACGAGCGCAAACACAGCCTCGGTAAATCGGCAAGCGTTTTCGAGCTACTGGATTCTAATCGGAAAAGGAAAATAGTAGAAGCACGCTGCGCCGCCGATTCGAACACAGTAAAAACCGTGGAAACGGCGGCGAATCGATTCCGCTAGCGGCTAATTAATCGTGGCTACGGGTGTCGATCAGTCGATCTCTAGCCGTGTCAGCGTGTCCGTGTGTGCGCGCGCGTGTGCGTGTGCGTATGCGTGTATGTGTGTGTATGTGTGTGCGTGAGGTGAGAAACGAGGTTTGATAAATAGATAAAATGGATCGAGTACATACGCTCGTTCAACAGGAAGCTCGGTCTCTTTGAACCTGCAACCCAAGGATCACATACATGATATTGTCACACCACCACACAACCGTCGGTCACGTCGTCGACGAACAAAAAGAAAAAACAAATGCGAGACGTCTCGTGCAGCGACGTGAAGATTAGTCGTGACAATTAATCGACGTGGGGGGGTTGGGGGAGGGAGCACACAACGATATTTATCGTTTCGCCGACACGTTCGAATAAACTTCTCGTGAAAATCATAGAGATGTGCGAGGAAACACAACGATACAGCGCCAATCAACGAAGCTACGATATTCCATCAAGCTACACATTTATAGAGACCGGAAATACTGTTTCTGTACAGTTGTGGACGTTAACATCGGCAGAAACGGTGCTCAGATTGTACAAATACGACGACGAGTTCGTCTGGTGCGATTTTTCCAATCCTGCGTGAACAATACCGGCGACAAGACAATATCTAATATTCAATCTATTCCAATCTCGTATATGTACAAATATTTATCAACGTTCAATTCGTGCGCGATTCGAATACAGCGGGGACAGAAGAATTTTACGAACCGTCAGTAGCATAGTCGAAGCAGGAATGAATTATGGTCAGAGTTGTTATCGATGGAACGGCGGATTTCTGTTTTACCACCGTCGGTTAAATCTCAAAATATCCCCAGATCTGTTTATCGACCGAGAACGCTGCCTTACCAACGCTAGGCAATTCCCTAGGGGGAATCGCTCGTCGGTAATGCAGGCGTGGCGCCGGTAAAGCGGCTCTCTACTGCGGATATTGCAGGGAACTGCGCAGTTGAGTCGCGTCGCGGTAATTGAAAGGCTTGTATCTAATTAGAGGCGACGATTACGAGAGTCGCTCTGCGCCGGGGCTGGGACGAGCGATGCGTCAAAATTGCGGTCTACCGTCCGCGCTTCCTGCAATAGTTGCCTTTAATTATTCATGAGCGCGACACACAGCACAGGCCGCGTTACGACACACCAATTATCATCGGCCTGTACAAACAGGTTCATCGTCGACAGCACCGCCGCAAGAGGAATCTGTAATTCACGCCTACGCGCCGCGTTGCAGCCTGTGCTCTCCTAATTGCGACCGTAGGGCCGGGACTCGAATAACGCGAAATCGTTCCGCACCGAAAGTAATTAATGCGGGCGTCGAATTAACTGGCGGTTCGCCCGCCGATATCGGGCGCATTATTTCGAGAACCGATCAGCGAATACGAGCGAAGGCGTTCTTTTCGCTCCGATATTGATCGAGAACGCGTCTGACCATAACCGACCGCTTCTACTGAATGTTTACCGCGCGAAACAACTTGCACGCTAGTAAACTCGTTTCCCGTGCAAACACTCCCTCTCTGCACGGGCCGCGCGAAGCTGGACAAACAATGTACCGGTTAGACGACGACGACTACGACGTTCCGCTTTCACCGTGACGACTATTTACAGGCTAAACTCGCCGAGAGAAACGGTTGCCTTCCGTACGGAATGACTCCCGGTAAAGTAGAGAGAAAGACGTATAAAATAAGGGGGCCGACACGACAACGTTTGCTCCAAGGACGGATTGTGTTACGAGGAAAATTGCTCGCCGGCCCTCACCTTTCGCTGGCGATCGAACTGTTCCGTGACATCGATTTCGGCGACACATCGAAATCGCTGTCACTGCGGTAGAGGAAGCTCTCCCTACGCTGTGGCAGATTCTGGAGAATGAGGCCTGAACTCGGCGAGGCGCCACCTCCGCCTCCGGGGCCTCCGTCCAGCGTTGAGGCGCCATTTTCCACGTCGAAACTGTAACAAACGAAATCGCTCGTTAATTATTGCTGCTGCGCGGGTCGATCGTCGATTTTTCAGAATTTTGTTTCTCGAGAACCGCGTCTTCGCGTTCTCGGACAATTTTTTTAATACGTTCCTGTGACACGTCGATGCGACAGGAAAAAAATTATTTCGACCAGGGAAACAGCCGCAGGCCGTAATACGAGGCTGTAAATAATCTGGTCGACGCGAGATAGTCAGACTTCTTCGTTACGCTAACGACGGTGTCGTATTCCGTCGCTAAACAATTTCTGGCTCTCCCCCCTGTCTGGCCCACGGTGTCCCATAAATATATCTAATTATACCGCGCGGCCAGAACGATGCATTCGCGAAAAAAGTCTCGTTCGCTTCGCGCTAATTGGAAGCGGAAACGAAGAGGCGCGATTCGCGCGAGGCGGAACGACTCGTTCTGGAAATTTTCATACCTAAACGGATCGTTGGAAATTGATCAATGTTTCACTGGATTTCGATAGTACTTCGAAGAGTGTGCAGAAAAATTTTCGGTCCGAAATATTCATTTTTTAATAAATTATGATTATTTCTTTGAGATGCTTCTTGTGACAGACAAATATTTCTTTTTTATAAATTTTTAATAACTAAATGGATCGACATTAATTTTTAAAAATTTCTCCTGGGTTTGAACAATGCTTCGAACAGTGTGCACAAAAATTTTAAGCTTGATATAATCATTTTTCGATGAAATACAGCTGTTCGTCTCAAATCCTTCCGATAATAGGAAAGGCGCGTCTTTAGGAATTTTTAATAACTAAATGGATCGACGTTATTTTTTTTAAATTTCTCCTGGGTTTGAACAACGCTTCGAAGAGTGTGCACAAAAATTTTAAGCTTGATAGATTCATTTTCCAATGAAATACAACTATTCGTCTCAGATCCCTCCGATGATAAGAAAGGCGCGTCTTTAGGAATTTTTAATAACTAAATGGATCGACATTAATTTTTTTTAATTTCTCCTGGGTTTGAACAACGCTTCGAAGAGTGTGCACAAAAATTTTAAGCTTGATAGATTCATTTTCCAATGAAATACAACTATTCGTCTCAGATCCCTCCGATGATAAGAAAGGCGCGTCTTTAGGAATTTTTAATAACTAAATGGATCGACATTAATTTTTTTTAATTTCTCCTGGGTTTGAACAACGCTTCGAAGAGTGTGCACAAAAATTTTAAGCTTGATATAATCATTTTTCGATGAAATACAGCTGTTCGTCTCAAATCCCTCCGATGATAGGAAAAGCGCGTCTTTAGGAATTTTTAATAACTAAATGGATCGACGTTAATTTTTTAAAATTTCTCTTAGGCTTGGATAGTGCTTCGAAGAGTGTGCAAAAATATATTCAGCCCGAAAATTTGATTCATCTATAAAACATAGACCATTTCGGCGACACCACTGCGCTGATAGGCAATGTTGCGCATCGCGCGTCATGAATTGCCACGAGCGGAATCAATCGATGATTTTCGCGACACCCTGTGCAGAGATCTCGTTCGGATTAAACTGTCCGCCGTTCGCAGGAGCGGCGATCATCGTCGCCGGGCGGGCGCGTTCGATGGAGATTTTTAAATAAATACGTGTCGGTCAAGCGGCGCCGATATTCCGCAGCCGGCGAAATGAAAATTAAAGGCGAAATCGTCGGTGTGACAGGTGAAGCGTCGCGGATTTTCCAGGCTCGCGAAAATTCGCCAAATATAAACGGTATCGGAAACGTGAATAATGAATGGGAAAACGGTCGTCGGTGTTCGGAGCCGGGCAAGTGGGCGCCGCGCAACGATTTCTACGAGCGATTTTAAAACTGGAACGGAAATTGGTGCGCAACAAAATTTGTTCGGGCATGTGTATCACCGTCGGGGGAATAATTAAAATTCGGCCCGGTACGCGACACTGACGGCTGACAATTTATTTACCGAAAACCGAATCGGAAAACGGTGACGCGGTTTTCGCTAATTGAACCCGCGATTACATCGAATCGCTCGAAATATAACGAGCGCCGGCCGTTAGCTGGAGTATTGATTATCCGGGCTCGATTAAAACCGTACTACAATTATTCCTGCAGAGCGCGCGCGCGCGCGTTTTCTTGCGCATCGGTCACGTGACAAACGATCGCGTAATTTTCGGGGCTCTCGATCGATGCGCCCCGAGCGAAAAGAAGAAATAATTGGAGGCTCTACCCGGCCAGGATCGACCTACGACGGAGCCACGTGCCCGGACTAATTATCCGTGGAATAATAGCGACGATTTATTCGCTCGTTAAGCGGTCGCTTAATTACCCCGCCGGCTCGATTAACATTCTTTCGTGTTCCCGTGATCGTGAACGTTGACCAGAAAACACGTTTCGTCTTCCTGCTCGCGATAGTAATCGTTACAGGCCATTATGTAAGGCCGATTAATGGCCCCGGCCTTGCCATTCAATGACTAAATAGTTCGCCGCTGTGACAGTCCATAGGCCACGGATCCCAACAAACGTAGAATCGACCGACAGATACCTCGAAATGTTTCGCGATCTCGCAGCCGAACGCGATTTTCGAAATTATCCCGCGCCCGCTCGCGGCCGACCTGCTCCACTGAATAACATTTCGAAAGAACAATCGACAGCATTAAAGTGTATTTAATTGCAGTTAAAAGAGCCGTAATAGTTCGTTCTACGAGATTTATGCGACAGAATAATGTTCACAAGAGGTCCGGCCATGGTCGGCTGAATCTACTGATAACCATTCTGCAGGGATAATATGTTTCGTCGTTATTATATCGTTTAATTCAACAATCGAGAGAGTAACAACAATTTATTCGACGAGATTTATGCGACAAAATAAGGTTCGCAGATTGTCTGGCCATTGTTCGCTGAATCTACTGAACGGAATATATTGTCAAAGAATAATACGCATTGTTAGCAGCAAACTATTGAATTATAATCGAGAGAGTAATAATTATTCCTTCTGCCAGATTTATGTTCAATGTATACGTCGGAGGTCTGACCATGGCCGATCGAATCTACTGAAGACAATTATAGCGGAATAATAGCGCGGCCATTGTGAAATGATTTAATTGTAATTGAGAGACGGATAATAATTCGTCCCGCGAGATTTACGTCGCGAAATAATGTTCGCGGCGCGTCCGGCGATGGCTGGCTGAATCTCCTGGTCGCTCGAACGCGAAGCCACCGGCAAATTGAAAATTGTCTCCGTTGTTCGTGCTCGACGATTTTTCCCGCGGCGTTTCGAAGACGGAGAAAATGATCGGAGCGCGTTATTAAACCACTCCGTCCGACCGTGGCGCACCGAATCTACTTCGAATAAGGGTCAAGCAGCGCCGAGCGTATTACCAAACAATTACAAATCCCTATCTGACCCTAATCGGCGTAATCCACTTAATTTCGAGAACACGCAGATTATTATTTTCCTAGAAGCAGCAAGTCGAGGGTCCGATTATGCTGTTTACACTCTAACGCGTATCTGCACCATCGACGGACTTAGCAACGATTTCGCGGACGCGCGTTTCCACGATTTATTATCTGAACGAGAATACGCTGCGAAACATGTTCCGAACACTTTCGCGGACGATTCCGGGCACCGAGCGCGCGCGACCCTAACCGATCGATCCGGCAACTCGCAAGCATTACTTCGATGCGCCACGACGTTTTCTTCTCTCTGTTCCTCTTTTTTATTTTTCTTCTTTTTTCATTTTTACGTAACACAGCGTAACAGGCGCGGCGGCGAGCAAACGGAAGCGCCTTTTTAATCACTTCATTGTTATTGGTTTCTGGCCGACAAGACTAATATTGGCCGTTCGGGCACGGCCGTGTCAGATAAACGCGACGGTTCGCACCTTATCTTCCTCAACGGTTTGCGCTCCGAAATTAAACACACTTGTTGATCGCTCGCTCGCGCGCTCCTCTTCGTAGAGCCTAACTCCGAATCCTTGAAAAACAATGAATCCCATGATCGCAACCTTCGGGCGATCACCTGTCAAACGAATATAAGGACGGGTCATATCCGACCCGGCCACCGGCCGGCTGCCGATTCGATCCGATCGTTCGCGATCCGCGAATGTGAACGACCGCGGTGAATCGGTAACCGCCGTACCCCCCCTCCCTGGGGATTCCACGGCGAACCGTAAATCTCTCCGCGCGATCGTGAATCCTGCCGTCGTGATTAGGGTAATTGCGCTCCAGCTGCCGGCGCGGCTCCTTCTCCGTCGCGTCTACGTGCCTCGCCGTCGTTCCTCCTCGGCTCTCCGCGTCGCCGGCTAATTAAAAGGAATCATCGGTCTAGCCATTGTGTCGAGCTCAATTTCCTAATGGATTCATTCTTTCTCTCGAGCGCGGCAACGCGGTAAAGAGGTCCGTTCGAAACGGCGACGTTCAGGCGCACGCGAAGCGAGAAAGTCTAACCGGTCGGGGAAACGCGACGCGAACCGAATTTGCATCAATTCCCAGCCGTACGTTTGATCCGAGAGATTCTGCATCGCTCGAGGGGCTATTCGATACGGCCGGCGTTCGGTGCATCGATCGAAGCATCCGGAGCCGGTAAACGCTCGACTCTGTCCGCGTTTCAAACGTCCCACCGAGCAGCATCTTCTCCGCCTGCTCGCAGAACGTGCAAATTTATCCAGCAATATTTCGATGTTGACTCCCCGCTTGCGGAGAGCATTTCTCGAACGCGCGTTTCCTCATATTTCTGAGCTGCAATTCGGTCACGATGGCAGATACATCTTTATAAATTTTCCTCGAGGTTGGGAAACACTGTTATGTATGCCTACTATATTGAAATTGAGTGTTTTATTATATTTTCCCGGTACGATTTATATTTGACAGTCAAGGGAATTTTGTACTGTGTTCGTCGAAGTTGAGAGACACTGCTATGTATCCCTATTATATTCTATTGAGGATTTTATTAATACTAAATTATTATATTCCTAACGTACAATTTATATATGACAGTTAAACAAATTTTGTAATGTTCGTCGA